CCCCCCCCCCCCCAAAGTACCCCCCAAAGTAAATGAAAACCCCCAAAAAACCCCCAAAGTTAGCTGGAGATCACAGTTTCAAAGTCCCAGGTCAGATTAACTTTCTTTCGGTGGATTTAAAAACAGAAAAAAATTAAAAAATCAATTTTTGCAGTGAACCAGCTGAAGGACTCTGGGGAAGGGAGGGACAGAGATTTCTTCTCGTATTCAGAGGGGGGGTGGGGGGGGAAGACTAACACAGTGCATGCCACAGTCACAGAGAGCAAGATCACGATTCATTCGAGGATGTGATCCTAGAAGGGGTTAACTGCGTTAACAAAGGTGGTGGAGTCTCTTCCCCAAAGCAGATCTTGTTAACTGGAGGAGGAAGCGTTGTGCTGCAAACGAACCAAAAAAACCCCAAAAATAGAAGGGAAAAAAACCCCAAAACCAAAAAAAAAAAACAACAGGCCTTCTGAACGAAAACCACCATTGTAAACTGTCCAGTTTATTTAAAAAAATGACTACAACAGAGACAACATGAGATTTTATATCTAGACTAGCTTCCTGGTGTCGCACGGCACAAACATACAACAGGTTCGGTTTCTGTCTTTATTTAAAAGAACAAAGCAAAGAGATCGGAGTTGGGTGCTAGAGGCTTCCGTTTGTTTCCAAAAAGAAGTGTCATGTACATATATAAACCCTTCTGCACAAAGAAGGGTCTTGTCATGTCTTGAAATATTTTAAGTTTTGTCCTTCATGTTTTATGGAATAAAAAGTTCAGCCTTTTTATTGCATGAAACTAAACCTGGGGTTTTGGCCCCCGCCACGCGTCTCCCTGCCCATACACCTAGCTTCTTCTTCTTCTTCTTCTTGCATAATTCGTTGAGAACCTCCGAACGGCAGCTGACTCTCTTGATCCTGGAGAGGAGGAGGGGGAGGGAAATCACACACTCATCGTCATGCTGGGGGAATACTGGAAGAGAGACAGAGCCAGGGTGAGAAACCAGGCGGGCCAGACCCCTGGACACCGAAGCGGGGTGGCAAAAGGAGGCTGATGACAACTCTACAGCAACCTAATTGCATCTAATAAATCAGGAGGAGAGGCTATGCTGGAGACTTGGATTTATCAGGGCATGGTCTGCTCTGTAACTTGCCTTTCCAGGGAGAAAACCATCAGAACAGTATGGGGTGAGATGCAATTAAAAACAAATAATTAGCATACGCATGTGTATATGCTGCTAATAAAGAAGAGGAGGGATGTCTGCAGCCACACACAGCACCTTGCATCAGCCAGGCCAGCACAGCTGGCTGCATCTGCCCCAGCTCCCCTCCATCCTGCGGGATCGTCTCCCCTCCCTTGGTGCACCCCCCTCCCGCCGAGGACCCGGGCTTGCACCCACTAGTGTATTTCTTCCTTCCCGCTTTCTGTCCTGGCGCAGCTCACACACAGCACAACCCAGGTCCAAAAGGCACCCGCTGCCAAATCCACCCGCCCCTGCCCCGGGGACCAACCCCCGTCCCCAGGGAGGCACTCACTCACATTGTCATTTTGGAAGGAATGGAGAAAGTTGCCTCCCAGCTCCCCGTCGTCTCTTGGAGTTCCCGGGGGATTGCTAATGCCACTTATGTTGTTTGGAGAATTCTGTGGGAGATGGGGGAGGGAGGAGGTGGTGAGCAGGTCCCTGTGCCCCCCCCAAACACGGTGGGGGCAGGACGCAGTCCCGCCTGCCCCAGTCATGTCCCCCCGACGTGTCCCCATCCATTGGGGTTACACCGGCACCCTGGTGCCGAGAAAAGGGGGACCCACACACCCGCTCTGCAGCTCACTTACTTTTGGAAGTCCATCTATGTCTCCTGACCCTGCACAGGGGGACAGACAAAAGGAGAACAGCCTTACTGACCATGCAGCAATGGCCCCGTACCCTGCCACCGCCCCCACTGGTCCCTCTTCTGATTTCCAGCCAAAGGCTCTGCTTCAAGCACTGGCCCAAACTGGGGGCTGACCCTGGGACGGGATCAGGCACTGGGATGCTCCGCCAGCGAAGGCACCCAAATCCACAGCTCCCCCCTGCACAAGCACTCACCTAACGATCCGTTCATGTGATGGGGCTCCATGCCGCCCATGCCGCCCATGGGGCCGTCAGAGCCGGGGCCCATCGGGAACTGCAGGAGAAAAAGGCAACAAAACCAAAATCAGCCACAAACCCACCCCGGGCACGTCTGCCACAGCCCCGGCAGCTCCTGGGGACTGTCCCCTCCCCAGCCATCCCTCTGGAGCGGGGCGAGAAGAGGGACCCATGCACCCCCTGAGGCTGCAGGGCACAACTGGGGGCTCGTGGTCCTGTTGGTTCACCTAGAAAATTTGGCCAGATGGGTGTGGGCAGACCCAGACCTGTGGCAGCACAGAGGGCTTCCTCCAATCAGCATTTAATGAGATTTAAATCAGCCCGTATCCCGCAAACCACAGCATCTCGCCGGGCACACAGCTGCCACCACCTTGGCCGGAGCAGCAGGACTGCTGCTTTCTAATAAGCATAAAAAATTAACAAAGTTGCCGAAGAGTTAATCGCTTTTTGATGGTTTGTTTTATTTCTGTTTTGTAACAAATGGCTGAAATCAATTAAACTGCTTTACTCTCAACTGATGAAGTTAATTATGATTTGTTATGGTATCTGATATGTAAATTATTAGAAAGCAGACTTACATTCGATCGACTGCCTGCGGGCGGTACTGGATTAATCATTGTGTAGATGTTGTCACTTGAATTTGTTGAATCTGTGGAACAGTGAAGCCCAGTAAGTCGGGTGATTAATTCATTTCTTAATTAAAACAAACTCATGCCACTTGAACTCATTCTTTTGTATTTTATCACCTAAAATTCCCTCTAAGTACCACCATTTTCTGCCTAATTTGTATTTAATGAAGATCCACAAAGTTTTTAATCACAGAAATTCAACTGTGAAAAATAATTCAGCTCCTAGCTGGGAAGCATGGGGAAGTAATTCCCCACTGTGTAGCATTCCCCACCTCCCCGAGCCCCACAGCATCCAAATCCAAAGGGGGATGTAAAAACATCCCCAAACGCCATCCCAAGTCCAAGCAGCCCACACTGCTCGCTCCCCAGAAAGGCGAAAGCTACATAAATCAGTTATTGCTGGTGGGGCAGGGGTTGCCCGTGCTCTGTGGCGCAGCCCCAAGGATGGGGGCTCCTGGCAAGGGAAGGGGCAGGAGCCCAGGAGGGCTGGACCTGGAGAGGGGGGGCTCGGGGGGCTCGTACCTGCAGGACTGGGCATGATGGGCGTCCCCGGAGGACCGCCGCCGCCGGGCGGACCCTGCAGAGAGACAAAGCGAGGGTCAGCCACGCAAGCACAAGCATCACCCAACTGCCCAGGTTTTCAAACGCCTCCTCCGGCTGGACCTTGCAACCCCAAGCCCAGTTCCCTGTATCGATTCCCCCTCCAAAACCACACGAGCTCCCTGAGCCGTAACACCTCCACACCCCAGCGACAGGACAGACGGATGGAGCAGGAGGACTCACCACGTATGTACCAGGCGATGAAGAAGAGTATGGGATCTATAGAGAGAAGAGAGCCAGGTTCAGACACGGGGTGCACGGGGGCTGCGCCTCAGCAGGGCACAGCCAAGAGCCCCCACTGCCCCCCCAGCCCAGCCAGGACGGGGGTCCCAGGGTCCACCAGCTGCACCCCACCGCAGGGAGAGCAGCGCAGGAGCAGGGCTTAAGCTTTAGACACAGCACCTCAACAAGAAGCCAGGGAACCCCCTCTCGCTAGCAGGATTCAGCTAACGGGGAATGGCCTCATTTGCAGGACGGTCCCTAACCAGCCCTGCTCTCACTTCAGGGACCACGAGATACTCACTGAGTTAGCACTGCTGGGGTTCGGCCACGGTCTGCCTGCTCCCGGCCCCCTGGGGTCAAAATTAAACAGGAAAAAAAAAAAAAAAAAAAAGGGGTGTTTTTATCAGTTCGGTCCCACAAAGCCCGAGTCAGCAGCCAAACACCCCCAGCGTGGGGTCTGCCTTACATGTTAATTCCAGGCATGCCGGGACCGAGGGAGTTGGGTGGAGGTCTCATGCCGCTGCCATAGTTCTGCAACGATAACCAAGGGTCAGTCTACCATAAGGGGAAGGGAAACCAGAGAATGAAAAAAAAAACCCCAAACTAAGAAACAAACAAAAAACCAAGAGGGTTAGTTTGCAAAAATGAGCTTTAAAAAAAAAAAAATTAGATGATGATGAACGTAGAGGCCATTACCAATTGCTTTTATAAAAAAATCAGGCAGCTGAATATGGAAGGGAGCCAGTCTGAGCCCCAGAGTGCCCCCCCAGTCTCTGATGCCCTGTTGGTGGAGGGAAAGCAGCCCCCTCCCAGCTCCAGGAGACAAATCTGCTCACAGCCCCCAGGCGCCAACAACAGCCTTTCGGGTTTCTCTTTTTGTGCAGGAGAAAACAGGAGCAGGAAGAGAAAAGCTGCATCGCATGGAAGGTTATTGCTGCAGCGTAAGGACAGGAAAAGGCTGCACGAGCTCCCTCCGAGATGGAGCATCCCCTGCTCCCAGGATGACGGCTGGAGTAGGGAAAACCAAGCCAAGCTTGTTTTCCCGTTGCTTCCCAGCTCTCTGCTACATCTCCCGGAGCTGCGGGGAGCAGGCGAGGGCAGGCAGCCCCTCGGGGCTCCTCTCCTGGCTTATTCCACCCCGGCTTAGCCTCCAGCTGGGACCAGGAGCCTCAGATCTGCATCCCTCATCTCCTAAAACCAGCTCTAGTACAAAGCCAAGCCCAAGGCGGTGAAGGAAGAGGAATCCCCCGAATGCTGCGCTCCATTTGGTCTGCGCTTTGCTCCCTGTGCCCCCCGGGCAATGTGCAGCCAGATTTAGGTCGTGCTGCTGCTCCTCCCCTCCCACCTTCCTGCCACAATGCATCTTTTTGGGCTGTATTTCTGCCATTTAGAGAAAAAATTCCTAGGGCAGGAGGAGGGACGGCTGGCCGCTTCCTATTTTGCAGCCCCTCAGAGCGCTCCGAGCTGGATTTTAAATGCAATCCTTCAGTGCTGTTGATTTTTCTCTGCATTTATGGACGCACCGGAGCACGGTGCTCTGCTGAGGGCATTGCCAAAGTTTGTTTTGAAGAGGCAGAAAAGGGTTTTCCCAAACAAATTACCGGCAAGTCCTTAATTGATTGAAATCCAGCCATTTACACTGAATAGCAGCATCAAACCCCTTGTTTAAAAAAAAAAAAAAAAAAGCTCAGCGGTTTTAATTGGAGCTGAAAGGCTGGAAAACGAAGCCATCTGAAAGATGCTCAGAGAGGGTGGGGAGGGAACGCAGCTGTGCCGAGCGACCTGGATGCCGGGCTCCAGCAAGATACCACCGAAACCCAGCAAGCTACAAACCCTCTTTGTAGAGGCACCAGCAAACCTGATCTTGGCCTCTGCAGAGCTAAAACAGTGACTATTAAAGGGAAAAAGGCAGTGGTGACTGGTTGTAAGGGATGATTCATCATTGGTGTGTAATAAGTAGCTGCTGTCAGGTCGCCGGGATGTCCTGGCTGGATGCTCTGCAGCCCTTTGGACTAACTTAAGGAGTATTTGGGAAGGTCCTGATGCAAAGCTTAAAGAAAAAAGCAGCCCATGACACGCAAGGTGTGAGGGGCTGCTGGGTTTGGGTGGCTATTTTCAGTGGTTGCCTGCATAGGCGCCGGTTCCTGGATGGCTGCGGGGAGGCAGCGCCCCGTGGGTGCCAGATTGGGAAGCCCAGCTCTTCTCCAGGGGAAGGCTGCCTTTTAAAAATCCTCTCCCTAATGTACATACACAGGGAACGGCGGAGTCAAAAATAAAGCTCTGAACATTTCACAACTCCTGCCGGCTCCCAGAGCCGCCGCATCCCACGCGGCGCTGAACGCGCGCTCGCGGCTTCCAAGTTTCACGGCGAGCTCTGCAAGTGGGAAGCGAGCAGCCTCCCCCAGGCAAACCGCCGCCGCTCTCCTTGGCGCAGGCCACGCTAACAAATGCCTTTTTTTTTTTTTTTGGGTGCAATCCTCCTGGAAAGTAGGATTTTAAGCAGAGCAGTGGCGCTATTGCAGGGCTTGTCCGCGAAACGATGCTCGTGCAGGTTTTTTAGCCCCTGCCCTAGGACGGATCTGGGTGCCTAATGGAGACGGGCGGGCATCCCTGAGCAGCATCCTCAGCCTGGTGTTAAAAAAGAGATGACACAACTCCCTCTTTACACAATATTCACTTATTGCAACAGTCTCTGGGGGAAAAACAAAACAAAACTCCAGCGCACCCGCTTGTCTCTTGACAGACTCTGATCCTCGCGCTACAAACTTGACGTAGGCGACGATGCAGAGAGGATAAACCTCCAACCAAAATATGGTAATCTGGTTTTGAAGTCTCGTAGAAGGAACAAACAGGAGTGAGTCAACAAGCCACTCCGTAAAGTGAATCAATGGAGAGACAGCATATATTAACCCAGATCTGCTTAATTTCAGGAGTTTACTCCCCTTTCCTGAAATAGAGAGCTCAAGGAGGCAGCGGGAAGGGCAGGCAGAGGGGAACCTCGCAGAGGAAAGCCTTATTCCCCTGCTAAAGGGATCTTTGCAATTTATTTTTATTTATTTATTTTTATTGCAAGCCTCCTTTGCCTTTCCTGCTGTTAGGGTCGTAACTATTTCCCAGGCAGGCAGTGTAATGCACTCAAAGGTTGCTCCGGCGCGGCGCTAAGTGCCATCCCCTTTGACGGAAGGGCAGGAGGGAGGTTGCAATACCCTTAATGAGCTCTGAAGACCTCGCTCATGTTAAAAGAAGGGATTTCCAGATGCAAGTCTAATGTAAAACACATTAACACTAATGGGAGGATGGGGCATGGGGGGGGAACTCCCAGCCCTTTGAGCCCCAGGAGGTTGTTTCGATGATGCTCTTTGGCGCTGGGCTTACCTGCGGACCGGGACCCATGGGGCCCATCCCTCGCGGAGGATTCATCCTTTGCATGGGGCCGCCCATGTTAGGGTGCCCTGTTGGGAGGAAAGCAGGGATGTTATGCGGCACAGCAGCCACTCCGAGTCCCAAATTAACAGCTAATGAGAAACGTTAAGGTTCGACCCTCCTCCACTGGGTTTACCTTGCTGTCGCGTGGGATCCATCGAATTGGGCAGCAATGGCTGTGTACCGGGAACGGCACCCGGGGGCTGTGAAAACAAGGGGAGGGAGATTAGAAAAAATACTAATTGTTAAAATGCAGCCTACAGAGAGAGGTTTGGGTTGAGGCTTTAGGCTTTCAGGGGGCTCCTCGGTGTGCTCCCCACAACACACCACCCCTCCTGCCGCAGCACAACCTGTGGCTGCACGAGCATCACGCGGCATCCTGCATCCTGGGCATGGTCCTACAGCCTCCAAGTGTTTGCCTCCCCTTTCCTTTTGCAAACACCTTCTAAAAACCAAACAAGGCACCAGCTTTTCCTCCTCTCCTTGCAGCCTGCGTGCAGTCTGGCTGCCGTATTTTAGGGCAATGGGCTGCATGGGGCAGAGGCGTCAAAGCCCGCCGGGAAAGGAGACGGGCAGCGTGGCTCCCCGGTATTTACACAGCGCCAGGGCCAAACCATACAGGTTGCAGCGACTTGTTGGCTGCCCGTGGGGAGATGCTCCATTTGCAGCAGAGCAGCATTTGGACCCACACCCATGCAGGCAGAGGAGAAGGTGGATGCTCACCTCTCCCCAAACCCATGCTCTGCTTGGGCAATGCGGCTATTTAAAGTTCAAAGGCTGCTCCAGACAGATAAAGGGGGAGAAAAACACAGATATCATCTGCCTGGGGGAAGCAAACTGTAAACAGTTTTGCTACAGCGCTGCCTTTTATTTGAAGGCCGACATACGACAGATTCCACTGCTGGAACACAGCACAGGCACCGGGTGTGCACGGCTGTGCCGAGACAGAATCTGCCCACTCCCAATTTTTTTTGCAGCTTGGAAGCTGGCAGCAGGAGGAAGATAAACCAAGGGGGTTGTAGGGATGGATATTTACACTCCTGCTGTTTGACCTTCCTGCCTGCCCATTTATTCCTCTCGTCCCTCTGGATGTGACCATAACCGTACCAAGCTCTGCGTAGGTACAAACCTGTGTTTTATATGTGGTGTTTGGGGGAAAAAAATTCAGTCCTTATAATTAACTTTACCTACTCCTGAATGTTTGACCCTGCTGCAAGAGCAGTCTCCCCACACTGGTCTCTCCTGCCTGCCCCAGATCACTGTGCTCACCTCCAGCAGAGCTCGGGATGAGCCCGGGACCGCAGCAGAATGGGGTCCCCTTAAAACTGTCCTGTGAGGAGGTGCAGTTAATTAACACCTCACTAAAACAGCCATCAGTGCCCTGGGTGGGATGCTCTTCCAGCTTAGCTGGGTTTGGGGCTCCTACATCAGCCCCTCGCCCCTGCTGAGTTCTCAGCTACATCTCAGCTGTTTCACCATCATTTTGCAAGTTCCAGCAATTCAAGTCTCAAATCCAGCAATCACAAACACCAAGCTGTTACATCCTACTCCCCAACTATCCTGCTCTTTCTGCTCCTAAGAGCTACATAAAAATGCTAGCCAAAACCCAAGCTCCCATGTTAATTTTTGCAGAGTCAGAGGAATTACAGGTTTCCTTTATTTTCCGTTTAATGACAAATAACCTCTGGTTTGGTCATTACTCTATGGATCTGCATGGCATCGTTGGGAATGAGATGAATTCCTCCACTCAAGGCCACGCGTTCAGGCAGCGCGTGGGGTGGAAGCCTTCGTCCGTAAGGCCAGAAACAAACTGCCCTTGTTTAAGCCAGGATAAGAGGATAAACCAACCCAAAAAATTCAGCAGTGACCTGCCCTGCTTGACCCCACTGCTGATCTAAGCGCTCGGTCAACCCAGCAGCAGGATTATCTCCATCACTTTAATTTTCTGCGACTGCAGGGAAAATCCAGCTGGGCAGTGAGCCCACAGCACGGCACGGCCGTGCTGAAACCACCACAAAGGAAAAGCAGCACGTTCCCCACCGCTGTTTACACCCTGCATATGCCCGAACCTCAAAATAAAATTAAAATAAAATGGTTATGTGTCGCCTGATGCTCCAGCACCAAGAAAACGGAGGATGCCGAGGGAGGAGACGCTTGCTGTCCAAACCCAAGGAGCATCTGCAGGACACGTGGTCCTTGTTCCCCTCCCCAGGTAAAAGCCCTCCCCAGGAAAACCTCAGTACCTGGTTGCCCATCCTGATGGGGGGCCGGGGACCTCCAGCGTAGCGCGGCGACATGAACGGCTGCGGGGACACAAAAGGGAGGTCAGGGCCGAGCTGCGGGGAGACAGCACGCTCCCCACGCACGCCGGTTAGACTGTACAAACTGTTTTGTTTTGGTTTTGTTTTGTTTTGTTTTTTTTTTCTGGAGACATCCTTTTTAAAAAAGTTAAGTTTCAAAAGGAAAAAAAAAAAAAAAAAAAAAAAAAAAAAGATGTCCGGAGTCCATTTTTAACATTTTCTATGTAGATTTATTGTTTGAGAGTGTTTGACATCGGCAATACTAGGTGAGGCTGTTAAAATTAGCACATGGGAAACCCTGAGTGTTAGATACTGTTCAAGTTTAAATATACAGATATATTAAAAAAAGTGGCAAATAAGCACATACAGACACGCACACACAAAAAATACCCCCAATGCTAAGTACTGAAAAAAAAAGAAGAAAGACTTAAAGTTACTTTTTTACAACTGCTGCTACTAACAGAAGCTTAAAAACCCACATCAAGTTAAATTTCTCAGGCTACTTTGGGAAGGTAAAACAGTCTGATACCCACGATTGACTTCTCAGTCCATTGACAACTGCACATCCAAAAAAAAAAAAAAAGAAAAAAAAAGAAAAAAAAAAAGAAAAAATGGGAAAAAACCCAGTATTTTGCTTCAGAGCTGGGGTGCTCAGGCGGATGCTCCCCGGGGGAGCGGGTACCCGCTGCCCAGCATGCTTATAGAGGGAAAAAAAAAAAAAGCAAATCGAGCGCACGTCCCGGTTCACAGCCCTACCCATCGCTAGTGTCTTTACCTGACTGTGGGGTCCCATCATGCTGTTAGGATTGTGGGGTGGAGGCTGTGCGTGTGGCGAGGGCTGTGACCCAGGCGGTCCCTGTGAGGTCAGACAGTAGAAGGAGGTTATAGATTAGCACATGAAAGCGCAGAAAGAGCTAAAAAAAGGATTGACGGGTGGACCTGTTTTGTCGGGGAGTCAGTTCTCCCATTTTTAATTTTTTTTTTCTTTTTTTCCTCTTTTTAATTGAGTTTCTATTCATTTGTAGCTGAACAATGAATAATGATATATGCAAAAAAAAAAAAAATTAAAAATCAGAACATCTGTCAAAATACAGCAGCCACACTGACGGTAAACGGTCCAGTAGTTCAAACCAAGTCTGCAATGATAAACACACAGGGAAACACTTTGCAAGGGCGTGCAACAAGGAAGAAAAAATATGCAGGAGAGGACCACTGATGTTGGGGGAATAACAAAAAACATCCCCAATCAAAAAAAAAAAAAGATTTTTTCCTCTCTCATCCCAAAGGTTGGAAACACCTCCGGGTTTGGTTTATTTTTTTGAGTGTGGTTCACTGGAGGTGCTGGAGCGAGCGCAGAGGACGCGGAGCACGTCCCAGCTCGTGCCTGGGCAGCATTTGGCCGGCACAACCGGGGCTGCATCGCCAGCCTGTACGGATGCAACATCCTTCCTCGAAGTGGATTCCCTAAGGATGCGAGTAAAATGGCTTGCGAGCAAAGAAAGGATGTCTAGGGGAAAAAAGGAGAGATTAGTCGGTGCAGGTTTAAGGCTGCAATGCAGCAGCCGCTGACATTTTGGGCTTCAACGCCCACTTTTTTTTTTTTTTTTTTTTAAATTTCCCTTAAAAGCACGAAATGAAAATTTGCTTGGAAAAACCGCGAGCTCAATGCAAGAATATACCGGTGCGTGTTAATGTAAGGAAAAAAAAAAAAAAAGTATTTTTTTGAGTCAAAGGAGGTGTAATTGGTAGAGAAAGCAAACGAGCTTTGTCAGTAGGTGATGGGAAGCGACGGCAGGCTCCAGGACCGGCGCCGGAGCAGATGTTTTCTACCTGCCTCGTTACTAATTTCAACAAGTGTTCGCCTTCTAGCTGCTGCCAGCAATGGCATGGTTTGTTACCATGAGCAATTTTCTTAATTAACAGACATTAATTAGCCATTTAGCAATTTTGCAAGCATTTGTTTAGCAGCTTTCCTAAACATGAATACCACTGTGATAATGGTACTGATTAGAGGGTCCCCTAATTAACAGTACAGGGAAGGAAAATTGAAATCACATAAATTAAAAAGGGAGGGGAAGTTAATGAAGGCAGGACATATTTGCACCTGCAAATCTTTTGTACGGCGGAAACTTGAGTGCAATGTAAATAAAGTAAGAGGGTGGGTTTTTTTCCTTTTTTTTTTTTTTTTTTTTTTTTTTTTTTTTTTTTTTTTTTTTTTTAATTTGAACGGTTCGGCGGCGAGATGGAGCCAAGCGGATTTAAACCAACAGCCTCCTGCCAGGCTCTCCGCCCGGGGAAATGAAGTCCCACCATTTATTCTCCAGGACCCAAAGGCAACCAGCCCCTGCTCCTACTGCCCTGTGAGCCTTGGCTGGAAGAGGTCACAGAACCTCCGGACAACCCTCCCGCTGCCAACACAACTGCCTTCTCCACCCACATCCCACCAGAGAGGAGAAGACAAACCACTGCTCCAACTGCAGCATCAACCTCCTTTAGCAGAAGTCCTCTCCATGAATGAAACTTGACTTATTTTTGCTTCTGAGGTGGCCAACTCTGTGCAAAGGGGCAGCAGCCATCTCCCACCACTGGCTCATGGAGGACAGTACCCCCCGACCAGGTCTGGCCACCACCAAAGCCCTTCCTACATGTCACAGCTGCAGAATTTGGGGTAGGGAACATGGGCAGAGGTGAATGAGCGATAAAAACAAGTGGAAGGGAAAAAACAGGACTTGCAGAGGCCAAACCTCGAGACCCATCAATGCAAGAGTCAACAGGTCCTGCAAGAGTCAACAGGTCCTCCACACGCTACAAGGAGGAGGTCACTGTTATCCAGGTACTGACCGGAGAGGCACACAGACCCCATCCTGAAGTTATTAAACCCCTGATGTCCTCCCTGGGTGGGAGGGTGTGGGGTTAATGGGTATCAAACGCGTGGGGGACGTGGCCACCCACACGCACGCTGGCTGGGCTCGGGGGTGACGCTTTGCATCTGCATTTACAGCAGTGCAGCGCAAGCAGCATTTGGTTATTGTAGAAAAAGCAGCTCTAAAACTCAGCAGCGTTTTCACCAGAGAAAAAATCCCCCGTGGCAACTGGATCTGGAGAGCACCAGTTGTTTGTGCTGCTGAATGCATCCTCCGGAGCGTGGTCCTGCCTCGCCGCCCCAAGGCTGCTCCCTGGGATGCTCCAGGCTCGGCACCGCTGCATCTCCGCCGTTGCATTATCCCATGTGGTGCCACTCCCGACACAGACTTCTGGATAACATGACTGCAGACGCTCAGCTTGTGCAAAATGGGCCTTTTTTTTTTTTTTTAAAAAAAATTATTTTCTTGCTTTTTCAAAACAGCAACGAGAAGCAGCATCCAAAACGCTTGCTCTGGGCTGCAAACGCTGCGGCCCCTTCCTGGCATGGCTGCTTTGCTCCATCAGAAACGCAGACCCTCTGGATATTGTTATCTCTGTAAATATTTGCAGATGTTTCAGGGCTGGGACCTGTGTTGGGCCAGGAACGCCTGCCGGATCCGTTGCTTTTTCGCACGGGTTTCCCTTGCTGCAGAGGAAGCAGCAGATGATCCCAATGGATCATGGCAGTTGAGACAAGTGTTTTGCAGAGACGACATGTGGGCTCCAACCAACAGAACAACCCTTTATTTCCTCAAAAAATGTGTATTTAGCAGTTATTAACTAGTGCTGCTACAAGAGGAAGCTGAACACACGCAGCCCTGCTGCCTCCACATCCCCAATTCCCCAGAGTTGCATCCCCTCAGCAAAGCTCCATCCGATGTGTCATGCCAGGTGAGCAGGACCTGCTCCACTGTTAACTCACTCTCATTAAGACCAGTGCTCTCCTCAACCAGAGAAACCCCATCATCTCTCAGGTTTTCATTTTTTTTCCAAACTGGATGCCTTGCACAGGGGGGTTATTCTTCACCTTCCTGTAGCTGCCTCAAAAAACCCGCAACAAACAACCCCAAACAGCTGAAACCGTGTTAGAGGAAACTGTTTCCAACAGCTCTTGGTGCCCCAGCCTCCTCTCCGTTTGATTTTTTTTCTCCCCTTTAACTACAGGGACTTTAAAAGCCCAACCTGTCCCGTCAGACAACCCAAGTTTGCTGCCGCTGCTGCTTTCTACGGGGAGTTTCCAGGCGATCAGGTTATTTCCACTCTGTCTTTCATGAGCTCGACTCCTCAAAGTTCTTGTAAAATATTAAAGATGGAAAATGGCACGAGCTATCATAGCTCTGTGTGTGTCAATTTATGTTTCCAGCGTAATTCACCACAAATGGATCATGTTTTATGGGCTACATACTTTCAGCTAATGGGGGAGTTTTTCTATTTAAAAACATTTTCAAGCACCTCTAGGGGTGGCAGAACAATGCAGGATGGTACGAGGAGGCAAAGCATTGCTGCCATGAGATACCGACGATTTAGAGTCAGCGGTAAGAAGGCATCTTGTGTTTTAAAATACCTGCCCCCGCCTACTGGTTTTGACATTAGAAAATACTAAAATAAATTAGATGGAGATTAATTAAAGATGTGCCTGGGTTTACTGGATAGGAGCTTTCTTTCCACTGAAGGAGAGAGAAGTTTTGCAAGTTGTCAACAAAAAAATAAGGTATCTCTGAAGGAGCCTTTAGGAGAGATGCTCCAGGTGCCTTCAAAGAGGAAGACCAACGGTGGCCTTCCAGCGTGCGGTGCCGGCTGAGGACCCAACCGCACCTTCCCGAGAGAGGGCAAGGCAAGGCAAGGCAGGGCAAGGCAGGGCAAGGCAAGGCAAGGCAAGGCAAGGCAGGACAAGGCAAGGCAGGGCAAGGCAAAGCAACGCAAGGCAAGGCAAGGCAAGGCAAGGCGGGCCAAGTTCCCCCGCAGACGGCGGAAGGCAGCCGTGGGCAGGAGCTCTGCCTCGCCTGCAGCTGGGGCTCCCAACTGCAGGAGCCTGGTTTTAAGGAATATGTTTAACACAAGCTCTTCAGGAAACAAACCCGTGTCAGCCGGAGCCAAGAACAGTCACCTCCATCTGGCTGGAGCACCCGAGAGAAAGTTGACTGCAAATCCCACCATATGCTCCAGACGCTCGGTACAAAAGCCTCAGGCATCCTACTAAACTTCCAGAAAAAAAACTTTCTCCAATGCTTGGTTTTCCTTTCCTCGAGCTCGTAAGTCACCTTCCTTCAAATCCTGCCTGGTGCAAGGCTGATACTGAGTTCTGCCCTGGGATTTTGGGCAGGGCAGCCTGGTTTTTGCCGCTCTCGTGCCGCCTCGCCAGAGCTGGTTGATCATAGATGGTAGCACCCGCGGAGAGGTGGCACATCCCAGCGAGACATCAGGACAGCCGAGCAGGGGGAAAATGGTGGCATCCAAGCAGGGAGCAGGACAACATGGACCCTCTCCTACTACCACTGCTCTACCCTCCTCACCCGCTGTGGGCAACCTTACCCAAAGAGCTGCACCCCGGGACGCAGGGAGGAGAGGCGGGGATGGCAGGGGATATTGGGGTGAGCCCCCCCTGGGCTCCAGAGCCCCCCATCCTCCCCAGCTCCAGAGGTCTCTCTGCATTAGGGGGCAGTGTGGGAACACCGAGCAGCCCGTGCTTTGTTTTGGTGCATCTCGGCGCCGAGCCGCTGATGCATAGCTAACACAGCCGCCGACATTGATTTATGGTCAACTTTCCATTTCATCAGCGTGCGGGGTACGGGGCGGCGCGGGGAGTTCGCACCGGGGAGAGGAGGCATGGCTGTGGTGGGGGGTGCTGACTGAGCTCCCCCCCTTTTATTTAGTGTTAAGGTGTGGTATTCATTGCTTTCAGTTTTTTATTTTCCTTCCCACATTTCCCTGGCACTCCCCTGTCCCTCCTCTGAGGGATCTGCACCCCGGCATCAATCCAGCTTTCAAAACAAAAGCAGGAACGCCTCCGATGACCTTTAGGAGGATGAGCAGAGGGTTTGTTTGCTCATCTCAATGGGACAAAGAGAGAGATTTAAATAAAAGCATCTACCCACGCTGGTCATCAACTCAGCCACCTTTTGTCCGGAGCGCAGCCCGATGCCGTGTCGCTGGCTAGCCCCAGGCAATACCCTGGCAACCCAAGGGTGCCCCGAGCCTCTCATTTCCCATCATTTTTGGAAGGTTTTGGGAAGGTTTTGGGAGACCCTGCGGGCTGCATTTCCCTTGGCCCCCAGCCCAAAGGTCGCTTCTGAGCCCCAGCATGGGGAAAGGGCTCTCCCTGCAAGACAGTGCCTGCAAACAGGCGCTGCAGCCTGGATTCATCCTCTCTTCTCCCTGCCACTTCTCCTCCAAGCTCACTCCCACGGGTTTTTGGGCCACTAACTCTGAGGAATGGCCCATAGTTTTCTCCCTTTGCCAGTGGTGGACACTCAAATGCACAGGGCTGGAGGTGTTCATGCACCCCGAGGGAGCTTTTCTGAAACCTGAGCTTCGCTGGTGACTCCCTCTTCAGCTCTGGTGTGATGCCCCACCGTGTCAGGACAGGACCAGGCCCCTAAACCCTCCCAAAAATGGTCTGCCCATGCCTGCTAGGCTCAGGGATATCCCCTTGCGGGTCCCTAGTGCCTGCAGTATGGTGCAGAAGAGGGAGATGCTGAAACCCCCCTGAGCCCTCTCCATCCTCTGGCCTCCTGGGATGAGGAGGGCACTGTCTGAGGTGGAACCTCGCTCACTCCCAGAGCTGGCACACCAAGAATTGTGGAGAAAGTCCCTGTCATCTCCTCTGACCTTTCTGGTTTTGCCCTCTTCAGTTCAGCACTTTAATTTCCTACAGAGATAGGAAATTACCCCCAAGCTGCAACCAGCTCATTGCTGAGCCTCCAGCCGCCTCTGCAAGAGCTGGTCTCCAGCATCTCCTGAGGCTGGAATGAGCTCCAGCACCCGCAATAAATCAGAAGGGCTTTCATGGAGGCAATGTTCAGACTGTGTTAAAAGGTGGGATTTTTCTTCTCCCCTCCTCCCCTCCATCCCCAGGGCTGGGAGGGGAAACCAGATGTTGGAGGGCTTTCAGGAAAGGCAGGCTCTTGAGATGTCACATGCGAGCCATATGCATCGGCACCCGTCTTCTCTTCCCTCCAGCAGCTCTGGGGATGAGCAGCATCCCTGCACACAACACCTGCACTGGTGCCATTACTTCTGCCGGGTTTTGAGGACGCCCCCACCAAAGGCCCTAAGAAAGCAGAGCTGCTTTTGAGCCCCCCCTTCCCCAGCAGCTCCTGATCCAGCCGCACGAGAGGTATGGAGCTGGGGTAGGTTGTCTGCTCCTGAATTGGACCCTCGGTGCGAAAATGCTACAGGAGGGCAGAAAGAAAAGCAGGGGGGACAGCTTGGAGGCTGTCAACGGGAAGATTTGAGATGGGAGCATGCACAGCATGTCTGGGGAGATGCGACTCCTCTTCTTCACCTTCCCTTCTTGGGGAAAGCCAACCCATACTCTTGAAGCCTTGCCCTAACTTCATGCCAGTTTTGCAGCCCTCGCAGCTCTGAGTGAAGCAGGAGCCCCAAAGGACAGTCAGCTTCACTGCGGGGCGAGATCAGGACTTTTGGAGACACATTTGTTGGAAGCAGCAGCTTGGCACTCAAATTGCTGGCAGCAGCTATGACCTGCGAGATAGCATCTCCACTGTTGGCTTCACCCCGTGCCGCCGAGCGCTGCTACAAGATTCGCCTGTTTTAGGGTTCTCGATCAATATCGGATATTCTTACTTTGTCAGAAGCATGTTCAGGAAATGGGATCTCTCTAAAAAAAAAGAAAAGACAGGACCCTCCTTCCCCCTTCCCACACACACACAAACTGCGATATCGGGCTCAGATATCACCACAATAAATCACAAGTGCCTTATCAAGTTCGCCTGTCTACTGCCCGAGAAGTTCTCCCATATACAAATCACAAGTCCAGATTACAAAAAAGCAGCTTGCCAAAACAAATATTCCTTTCAACTCTTATCCCATTTGTTACACGAACAAGTGTTTCTTCCTCAAGAAGGAAGATTTTAATGCACCAAGAGCTTACGCCGCTGCAAACCAATGTGGCTCATGCCATGCAAAGAGATTCCAGAGAAACCCCCAAAACCCCCCACGGTTTCAAGTTTTGAAAACTCCTTTTCTGTGTGCTTGGCAAGATCCCTTCCATCAGTGTCAATCCAAACATACGTTACCCCCTCCTCGGTCAGAGCTCGGTGCGGGAGGTGGAAGGAGCGAGGGGACTTTGCTAGGTATTTGCTTACAAGGTGCCTCCATGGCATTTGGGGACTTGGCTGGAGCCTGCTCCTGCCTGCAGCCACAGCCAGCGTTTGTTAATGCTTTCAGTGATTGCATTTGGAAAAAATCAAGCGGTTAACCAGAGGAGGGGGAAAAAGTTTCAGGAATCAAAATCCAGAATGTTTTCAATTATGCACGTCTGTTAGGACCGGAGAACAAATACAATCCCAACCCAAACACAAACCAAGCAGCTTTGGAAAAAACATCGGTTGTAAATACACAGTAACCTCTTCGAGCAAGAAAGAAATTTGCTTTAAGGCCACAAAAAATAGAAAGCAAATGTGGAAGGACAGCAGAATGCGAGTTATTCCTAGACAGGTCAGCTGTGCGGGCATGCTGCTTCCCTAGCATCCCCTCAGAAAAAAAACACAGGCACGACAGCGCTGACACCCAGAGCGTAAGCAAACACGTGCGTGGTGTGGAGGCGAGCATCAGGAGGAGCGGCAGCCTACCTGGAAGAACCCGGGCGGGATGGGGCCCCCGGGCATCCCGTCGTTCGGGGGAATGTTTCCAAGCACAGGACTCGGGGCGGCAGCTGCGCTCTGCAGGGAACAAAACCAGGGAAAACATGGTGGGTTTGCGTTGGAGTTAAGAGAAAAAAACACATTAAAAAAGCCGTCTCTCCCGCCACACCACACTGAGTCAATTAGCCTGTTACCTCCAGAGCCCTGAGCATCACGCCCCGTGCCCCGAGCATCCTCCCCCCATGAGGGAATGAGCAGAGGATGCTCGGAGCTGGAGGGGCACCGGCCTCTGCAATTCACACATGGAGAAGATGGCTGCACAAAACCCGGGGATAATTCTCGGGCTTATTTATTCATTTACCCAGGCATTTAGTCTCGTTAATCCACCAAGGAACCTCATCCAACGCGTCATTTCAGGCAGAAGCTGTTTTAAGGCTTTTTAAATGCTTCTCTTGCTCCACCTTCCCCCACATGCTCGCTGTCTCAGTTCTGTCCTCCAAAAAAGATGCCTCCCTGACCTCAGCAGCACACCAAGGTTTCGTTACGAATTTCCAAATTTCATTTCACCCTATCTGTGGGGTCACAATCCCCCTCATGCCTCCCCAAGACAAGCCACCCAAGTGGCTCAGCACTAAAAAGGAGGGATGGGGCAGACACGAGGTAACTGGACACCCCGCTCGCTCCTGCTCAGCCTCTCTATTTGTATTTACTTCCTCTCTGTGATGTACATTGACAGACAAAAGAGGTTTTTCTGGGGCAAGAGGCAGCTCTGGCAGTGCTGAGGGAAGGGCAGCATGCACCAAACCCCCTTGGGAAAGTACCAGTGTGATGGGAGGCTCCTACCCAGAAGGAAAATGGTAAGAAAAAAATCTTTCCCCTGCTGACACATGTCCTTGCTAGGATAGGAGTGATACCTGTGCTGCTGAAGCGCATTCTCATTTACCATTGCCAAAGAAACCCCCATTCCCAGGGCAGCTACAAGGGAGCCTCAGTGATACTAATTGGGTTTGGATCACTGAACTACTCCGTCCACGAATTTTTATGATGGACTTACCCACCTAAAACTATGTGGCAGGCCCAAGGAAAATCATCCACCATGAAAAAAATTGGTGGAAAAATTTTCCACTGAGGAAATCCCATGAGCATATGTGCTACACGTGAGCCTGCTCAGGCTTGGTTTTATCTCAAAGCTTGGAGCACCCTGATCCCACCAAACCCCGCATCCCAACAGCAGCCGAGACAGGCCTGGCCCACAGCTGCATCCGATGTGGTGACAACTGCAAGATGCAACAGAGTGGGGAAGCCAGGGTGTCAGGACTCGGGCAGCCCTGAAAATTAACGATTATTATTAAGGACTAAAGCTTGCCAAAGTGGGACTCCCACATTTGGTTGGGAATCTCGCTATTCCGGACCAGAATGCCTCGCAGAGGCAGGCGAGCATCAGGCTAATCGCTGCCTTGTGCCTTCCTGGGTCATCCCTCGTGTCCCCTCCCTCACGCTCTCCAGCAGGAGCCTCTGTGCAGGATGTGGGATGAAGGCCAGGACCACGCCAGATGAAGGGCTGCTTTTCCCACCCCAGCACCTCAGAGCTGCAAGCGGCAGAGACGACAGCGCAGGCCGATTCCCCAAAACGAGACCCCCTTTGTGAAACAACCAGGCTCCCCCTGCAGCTATGGGGTCCTGTGCCCCCAGGCACAGTGCATACCATGCTCCCCCCATGCCCCTGAACAAGGCATCTCGAGCAGCTTTCCCCACATCAACAGCAAAGGCCAGATCTGAGTGGTTTTACAGTTAATAAAAAAAAAAAAAAAAAAAAAAAAGTCCTGGCAGGAAAAATAAGCCTGCCCGTTCCAGGCTCTTTTTATACATCAGACGGCAGCAAAAATAGACGGGAGAGGGAGTGAACCCAGTTCTCCCCCTCCCTCCATCCCCCCAAGTGGGTCAGCTATAAAAGTAAAACCAAATCTTAATCCAAGGCCATGAACATATTGCAGTTTCTCTGCAAAGCAGATGACGGTTCTTAATGCAAAAATATCTAAGACCGAGCCCCAAACTGCAGAGAACCCATTTGGAATTTCCTTTATTAAACCCTCTATCACGCAAAACGCTTCTCTCCCAAGGCGGCAAGCGCTGCAATAAAGCTGCCAAGGTGATATTTTATGGTTTCAAGAGATTTCCAGCACACCATAATCCTTTGCTGGGGGAATCTCCCAAAGTGAAATGGATCCCAAAGTGGTGGGGAGGGACGATGGACACGTATGTGGGGATCCAGGGGGAAAGTACGTTGCCCTCCTCCTTCCCTCCGCAACAGGGAGTGGAGGCAGGAGGGCAAAGCAGCCAAAGAAAATCTTGAAGCAAATGACCATTTTTCCACAAAACCACAGAGTATTTTTCCGCGTTAAACACCCCGAAACCTCACCTATGCCTTCGCGGCATAAACGGGGATTATAAAGTTCCTCGCACATGTGGCGCTTGGCAGAACTCGGTAATTAAAAACCCACAAGTGCCCTGAGCATATTGTAGGATGGGAGCCAAACTGGTCAGCCCTTGATGAATGATTTACAAGGCTGCGAAGTGACATTTTATTTCTTTTTTATTCCCCTCCCCATCACCGCCGCTAAGGTAAACACCGAGGCACCTTTAGCCCCGCAGAAGCAATGGGAACGTAGCCTTGGCTGGAGCAGCTCTGCAAAACCCTTGGGATGGGCCAGAAAAGAAAGAAAAAAGGGAAGACAGTGGGACCAAACTTCCCAAACCTTAAGAGTGAGGACCCAGACCCCAAGCGTCAACACCCAAACCCCAAGGGTTGGCACCCAAACCCCAAGGGCTTCCCAGCACCCATTTCCAGAAAGCCAGCACTTTTTTACCCTCCCAGCTCCTCCCACCCAGCCTATTTTCATCATTTTGGCTCAGAAACTCTTTTTAGGGACTATGGAGATTTCAGCTGGAGTTTGCCTGCTGAGCCCCTTTCATTGGGTGAATATCTAAAAACCCCCAAGCCCCCCGCTCCGGCACAGGTACAGGCAAGGTGGAGATGCCACAGAAGCCGGCAGATGGGCAGCACCAGCACGGTACGGGAGCATGAAGCTCGCTCTGCCACCACCAAACCGAAAGCATGTCCAAGCCACAAAGGTCCCCGTTGGCACGTGACGCCCCAAATTTCCTTCCACCAAAGCACATCGGAGGCCACTGACAGAGATGAGCAAGGACAGCTCTGGCACAGCCAGCGTGCTGGCTCGTTTGCCTTTTATTAGATGGTAAATTTGCTCCACGCTGGAAATAAAATGCAGTTCCTGGGGCATGCATATAGAGCTGTATACACACACACACACACACACACACACACATATTTCTTTTTCCTCCCCCTACATACATTGGATTTTTTCCACTTTTTTGGTGGAAGCCAGCGGAGCAATGACAATCTGGATTGCCATGTTTCGCTTCCAAACCAAAGCTCTCAGTTAACACACCGGCTCGGTACGCCAGCAGATGCCGTCTAAGCCTTTAAATCGCACACTAATTGCACTAATTGAGCTAACAGTCTCTGTTTCGTCTCCCTACCCTGAGTCAACCAGCGTCTTCTGGTACTGCTGTAGAGATCCAAGCTGTTGACTGTAGTGTTATTTTGTCAGCCATTAAACGATTCATCAGAGTCATTAATTGATTTATTACTGCTGCCTGCGAGTATAGCTTTGCAAATAAAGAAGGATGGAGGTCAGGAGGCAATGGAAATCGGACAAAACAGCACAGCCAGGAGCTGGGCACTTGAATTATCAGTAGGAGCCCGCTGGCATCAGGTTAAAACAGGGGGAAAAAAGAAAAAGAAAAGATGTGCTGTTCAGTTGCGCTGCCAAACCAGTTAGGTTTTTCAGCTAAAGTCTATGTAGGATGGAAAAGGGCTATTAAAACCATCTTGTTTTCTTAACCTAATCCTTAGGAAGAAACCAGGTTATTCCGCTGTATTAATTGAGTTTAAGAGCAGCAGGGAAGAGGCACCGGTGCGGCTGCACCGAGCAGCTCCTTGGTCCCCAGAGCAGCCCCCAGAGCATCCCAAGCTGCCTCACCAGCATTTCAGTGTCACCCAAATTTGCTTTCCCAGGCCAGCTGAGCTGGGAACACAGCTCACCTCTGCTCGTCCCATAGCCCTGGGAGCAGCTGCGGACCAGTGCTTTTATTTATTTACTTTCTTTAAAGCAGTTTAGGTCTCTGCTAGGCGTGAAGGTTTGCTGAGAGCAGGGTGCGGCGAGCCGTTTCCTGCCCCCCGCCCTGTGGCAGACTCAACCCGAGAGGAGCTGTGAGGCACCACTGAGGCTGAGAGGGTTTTGGGGGCTGAACTTAAAAACCAGAGCAACCAGCACAAAGCTGGTGAGCTGAAATCACCACCAGCCACAGCACCCTGCTGCCCCCAGCCCCGGGGTAGCCCCGGTAATAAAAGGCAGCACCCAACAAGGGAAGGTTTGGGAAGCTGGGGAGCTTTCTGGATGCGCTGTCTGCGTGGCAGCCCTCAGGATGCTGCAACGGGATTCCTCCTCCTCATCGCTGGACAAGCTTGAGCTGCCTCTAAGAGCATCAAGAAGGTCCCAATGCATCCCATCCTGCAAGGCTCCCAGCGCAACGGTGAGACGATACCCTGTGGGGTGGCAGGGCATCACCTGAGCCCCGGCTTGCCACCTGCCCAAACTCGCCACACTTCACCGACACAAGTGATGGTTTCTATTAACTATGAAAAACAGGTTCCCATCAGTGTATTTACTCTGTCGTTAAACATGAGCCGGTGTCCCCACCGCACGCTCCGGGTGAGCAGTGTTGGGTCACAGGGGCAGCTGCACAGCTCAGCTCACCCCAGCATCCTGTGGCTGGCTTTCACCAAACACTTTTTTTAAAAATAAAAATAACCTCCAAACAGTGGTGCAAAGCGCTGGCAGGCAGCAGAGAGGATGCTCTCTTCATGGGAAACACCAACAGCACTGGCTGCTCTGCCAGCCCCAGCCTCCATTAACCCAGCAGTGAGATGGGGAGAGCAAAAATATCTCCATGGCACAGACCTAAAACCAAACTACGGTTTGTTTTTTTTGGCT